AAAGTTCTTTTGAGAAAGAATTTATATCAGTACATCCAGGCATGAATAAGAAACGTGTCGGAAGCACATCTAAACTGAGATGATAGGTTTACGGCGAAACCCATTGCACGGACACCAGTCGTGTGAAGGCCTTTCAACTGTGTATGGCAACGGTGCTATCATACTGCTAACGAATTTTTTACGTACGCGCATTTGATCCCCTACAAGATACCATTATTTTGAATGCAATAAAAGGATAAAGGATAAAGCTCTCGGCGTTGATCAATTCCTGAGGGATGCGCTATGCATTCGACTTCATTAAGTATCGTTGGAGGTGATTGAATGCATATCTGGCCTTTACAATGACTACCGATGTATCGAGCCAGTGCTGCTACCCTCACAGACAAGTCTGGTACGAATTTGCCGACCCTGGAGGGATGGAAGGTTTGGGGGGGGAGGGAATAGGCGCGGGAATCGATTCCACGTGTGTGTTGCAGGGCGCCTCTGACCACTGCGCCACACATCGATATGATGTAGATCTAAATTTTTGTTACAGACGTCATAATAGGCATCTGAGGTCAACGGTATTCTATTGAACAGGGCAAACCACTTTTTGACTTGCACCATTGTTCACGTATTGCTGAATAGATCGGTAGGCCACCGCGAATCATTGTAAATTCCAGAATTGCACTCAGTCACCTCCAGCGATGCTAAATGAAGTCGAATGCATGGTGCATCTTTAGCATCCCATCACTGTGAGGTACTGGTTTGACATTCTGCAGATAGCACATTTTAGTTGCTCAATATATTTTCGACCTAGTCGCTTATTTTTCCAATCATCAAATTATGAGGAAATGGCCACAATGGAGCTGGGACGTTGGCAAAATTTCGGCATCCGGGGCCAGCGTCGAACTATCGATTATCATTTCCAGATCACAGAGATGTGATTGCTGGTAGCCAAGTAGCCGTGTTAAGTAAATAAAAAGCTGGGAGTAAGAAAACATCCGCATTTTATAACGAAGAAGTAAGGTTAATAGACAAGTTTGTTTGCTTGTACAAATACAAAATCTCTTTATTAACTGCTCTTTTATAACAACGCGCTTCACCTGTGGAATTCCACCGTCTGTTGTCGATTTAGTGCTTCGCTGAAGTGCGACCTTAGTCACTTTTTTAAAACATGCTTTGACAGCAAGTGTAGTGCAAGAGCCAGCACATCTTTCACTCGCTTTGTTTCCCGTGTCTATCGTCTATGAAGGTCTTCGGATTGGTGCATGGATTCGACTTCTTGAGGACTTAAGCGTCCTTACGAATTCCTTAAATGCTGGTCGAATCGGTGGCTTTTGGAATCTTGAAACTGATGTGCTGAGGTGTCCCCTAATCCTCACTGCAAGCAATTTTTATGGATTCAATGGAGTTTTTCACAGTCGGTGGAAGAGCGCCTCGGCAAGAAAAAAAAGCGGCAAGAAAATCTCGATAGTTATAGACGGTTAGCGCTCAAGTGCTCACATGAATGAACGTGGAGCTCATTGGCACGTGAATTAATGAATGAATAGAATATACGGATTGACACATGGGGTTATAATCCTCTGCTTAGAAGGGCCCAACAACGCATTATTCCTCTCTAGCCAATTCTATGCATTTTGTCTTGTATAGGAATTCAACGCAGCATTTTATCTTTTGCAATTCCAATCAGTTCAGGTTTCACTACTCTTCCTAGGAAATGGTTTTCAGAACATTTAGAGGAAAATAGCGAAGCGATCAAGTGACGTTGACGCGTCTCGACGTCAACTGCAAACGGCGCGAAGTCGTTTCGAAGAAAGAAAAACGCCAAAAATATTACTGTTACTGTTATAAAGTCATAGTAAAAAAAAATAACGCTATCTGAAGTTGAAATCGAATTGAATGAACAGGTTAACCTAATAAAGTTTGCAGGAATCTTTATTACAAACTCACCTTAACTTTTGTGATAGTACGGTTTATATCAAAAATTTTTGAAAGGAAGCGAAGGAAGAAGCAGATTGAAAATATGCAAAATTTAAATCATGGCATTCGGCCTACTAAGAATAAAGAGTTAAGTTGATGATAGCACTGCTGCTATTTATAAGCAATACAATTTTATAGGCGTCGTAGCATACTGGTGACAGCTGTCCTGCAATCGACGGTTCCTCGGTTCGATTCTGTGACGTGGACGACATCGAGCGGATTCCACTGGTCCGGGTTCGAAAGGCTGTTACCAGCCTTGTGTGGAAGGGAAAAAGCACTGAATTCATCTATTTGTAGGTCAATAAGTGCATGCACACGCCAAATATAGATTCAGTCACCCTGACAATGTTTCGAATGGAGTCGAATGCATAGTTTATTCAAAATGGATTGATCAACGCTGAAAGCTCAAGACTCTCTGTAGTAAAATTTTGCTCCAGAGTTCTAGGAGACAAAGTTAGGAAAAGTCAGTACCCTTCCCACCTTGGTCTGATCCCGGCTAATCGTACATTTGCCGCTGAGAAATAAGAGCGTTTTCGTGTCTGGAAAATATGGGGAATGATATTGAGTCGGGCTAGACTGTTCTAGTACCCATTCTCCGACCATTGATGTTGTTAATGTTTATCAACAGGTGATTTTTTCAAACCTGTATCTTCTCATAGAATAGCTCAGTATCAGTGTTTTCAAGTGGGTTTCAAGAAATGCGTTGTCAGGAACTAAGTTTGGCCGTACACCTTTCTACCAATATTTAATTCCCAAGTTTAGTTTACCGCCGAGATCATATTAAAATCCCAAAGACTCCTCAAATTGCCATTGGTAACTCCGGAATCTCTTTCTCACCATTAACTGGTTGTGTGAAGTCGTCTCGAAGCAATTATGAGGAAAATTAGTTTTCTTCTTCATTTTCATCTTTACACGAACCACCTTCAACTATTGTGGATTTTCTTCTTACTTTTCATTTTTGCACGAACCACTTCCACCTATTGTGCCGATCTAAGCACTTTCCCCATTCGATTTCTTTCTTCTCATCGATCGTCCATGAAGGCCTTCGGATTCCAGTGCAGATTCGGTTGCTGTTTGAGAATATTGCTATTCCTTGTGAATGTTGTTGAATGCTCTTCGAGACGATCACTTCCTAGAATATTGGCCATGATAAGGCGTTCCAGTCTTCAAAATAGGTCGTTCCTAGCCTCTATAGATCAGAAAGACCGCTTCCACGGCAAGTCATGAACAAATTTCCCTAATCCTGAGCGATGAGGGGCTTGGTTTCCACGGGGTTTGAGATTAAGTCAATGACCACTTGTATAATTATAGGGCTTTATATAACTCGTGCGCTACATGCGCCGTTATACTGCTGCAAACTTATACAATTATTGTCTGAAAGAGTACGAAAAAGAGCAACGTAAATAAATTAGTTTCAAAATGATATTCCATCCCAGTAAAGTTGTTGGACATCCGTCGTAGCTTTGGATATTTCAAAAGTTGTAAGGTGACTTTTGGGTGTCACTGCTGAGTCAGAACGAGTTTCAGCCGGCGGTACTCAGAACAAAGGAGGATTCTGATCTATGGTCAGTCGTTTTTACTAGGTTACAGAATACAAGTAGTGAGTTATTCGAATACTTCACTGTGTCACCCAAACGCTCCAATTACAATTCGGCTTTTTAAGCGGTTTTCGAAGTCGAACAAACCAGAAAACTAGTACGCTATGAGTCAACATGCATTTCATCATTATCAGCATCAATCTGTTTGATCGATTAGGAATGTTCGAGGTCAGTCCATGAATGTTCTTCGATTGTCGGCCGGCAGACACCATAGTTCTCGTTAAAAACATTTACATTAGTGCACTTGCCTTCCGAAACAACTATAGGAGCAATTTTTCCACTCCGGAGGGATTGATTTGATCGGAGCACGAAACCGAACCCCATCCCGGCTAAGCCTAAGCATATTAGTATTTATTAGTGATGCATGAATGATGAGTGAGTGAATGAATACTTCTTTTTCAAAAATTCTTTAACAAGTGTACTATGGAATTATCATACATGAGTGTTTAATAAAAAACAACAACAATAGTAAATTAACGAGGCAAATACAATAATATAAATGTAGATATCTGCAATTAAACCCTTGATACAAATGCAATGCAAAAATAAACGTGAGCCATATGTTACTCACACATTCTCATAAGTGCGTTTTAGGCCAGTATGATCGAAATATGTGTTGAATGGGTACATTTAACGAAGTTCAAATAATTTTTCTTACCAGTAAGGAAAATGGACGGTTATGTTATGCTCGGCGAATATGAGAAAATTATCTTAATGTGTAGTGCTGTTGTAAGACATAACGCCATATGCCGGTGAAAATCGATATTTCGAGATTTGGCGAGAACGATATATTCCAATGCTGTTACGGTATTGTAGCAATCAAAAGCTTAATGTTCCTTGAATAAAGTTAAAAATAATATAGAGTTTCGGGTAAGGAAACGATGACAACTAGACTCTAAACAAAATAAGATGACAAAAAGCTTTCGAGGGAGTGAGGAATGAAAAGTATGTGAATGATTAGTAAACATCTTTAAATGACCTCTTTTGAATTATTGCAAAATATCGAAACAATATGTGCACGTTCTTCTATGCTCATTCATTTTTCGTCATGAAAACTAAAGAAGCTTATTGGTTAGGAAACGATCTATGAAAACTCTTCAAGAGACGAACTTCACAACGACGTGTCAATCCTTTTCATTTTGCTTCCTTGAGTCTTTCTCCATTTGGGTGATACTGAAATGTTGGCCTGTAATTTTTTTGACCGTAACTGTTATAACTGTTATTTTGCGTGTTCATTTCTTGTTACGGGCTCCGGTTGTGCTGCGAGCACCACTCGACCGATGTGACGACAACGACGACTCGTCGGCGTTGTGTCTGACGTCTGTTAGAGAAGAAGAAAAACCATAACAAGATTCATATAAAAGGGTGGCGCAAAACGTGATTCACATTGCTGAACGTACACCTACCTCATTCTGTTGCTTTCCACAGGACAACACTGCCATGGATCTGGAGAATCGTATTAAGGCGTATCGGCTTGTCATCTATTCGGCGATCACATTTTCCGTGGTGGCTGTGATTTCCGTTTGTATTACACTTCCAATGGCCTACAACTATGTGCGTCATATGAAACAATTTATGCTCACAGAAGTCAACTTTTGTAAGGTCGGATATTTTAAACTTTTCCACATGAAATTTACGACAATTGAACTTTTTGATTAATCTAATTAATTAAAACTCTAGGATTCGGCTCGAGACATTTGGTCAGAAGTGGATCATCTTAAAACTATAACGATACAGTCAAACAGAACAGTACGCCAGATCGAATACGGATCCTGCCAAGCATGTTGTACCGGTGGCCAACCTGGTCCTCCAGGTACACCCGGGCAACCAGGCCGGCCGGGAAATCCAGGTGCTCCTGGACTCCCCGGAAAACCTGGTCGTCCTCCAGTTCAGCCATGTGAACAAATACCAATTCCACCGTGTAGGCCTTGTCCACCAGGTCAACCTGGACGCCCAGGAGGACCAGGATTACCTGGGGAACCAGGGGCGCCTGGAAAGCCGGGTCCATCAGGAGAAGATGGGCAACCAGGTTCTCCAGGACCAAAGGGACTTCCTGGACCGCCTGGAAAAAGTGGAAAGCCAGGAAGTCCAGGTCAACCGGGGGTGACTCCGCCATCGGAGCCACTCATGCCTGGTCCGCCTGGACCACCCGGTCCACCAGGACCTCAGGGACCACCGGGAGCAAATGGACCTCCTGGTCGTAATGGTGCTCCAGGTTTGTTTTATTCTAGAGTTCGTATGTCACATTAGTGATCAATTTTTCGAATTATGATACAACATTGTAGGACCACCCGGTGGAAAAGGTCCAAGAGGACAAGACGGATTACCGGGAGAACCTGGAAGAGCTGGACGTCCGGGACAACCAGGGCCACCAGGACCGCCAGGCGAACGTGGAATTTGTCCAAAATACTGTTCGTTAGACGGTGGTGTGTTTTTTGAAGACGGCACACGTCGCTAAACAACAAATAGCAGAAACGAAAAAGCTCTGCGAACGATCGTTGCAAAGCAATGTCCGTCTACATGGTAATAAATATAGATTTAATGGGCGTGTAAGTAAGAAATATTTCAGCTTGGAAAAATATAAAGTGGACAAAAACTAAGAACCCATTGATAATTTTGCCGACAGACCACGCTTTCCCAATTGTTTGAATGAGATTAGGAAGGATTAGATCATCCATACCTATGGGTGCTCAACGTAGTGGAGACGAGCTCTCGAAAGACGATAACTTTATTATTGACGCTTGGTGGACAAGTAAATAATGCAATAACCTTTCCATTAAGTAGCTTTACCTAAGCAAATAAGCAATGCTTTCAGATTCTTGGAAATCGGTTGTTCAAGTGTAAAGTCATCTGAGAGCGATTCGCATCTCAGATATAATAGGAGATAACTTGTAAAGATCCTATGTGGTTTTTTGTCAAAAAGAAGAAATTCAAAGTTGGCAGAAATGAGGGATATGAAGTTTCGAGTGGAGTGCAATTTTAAAGTGTTGAATAACATTCAGACTTATAAAATTTTGAGAGATATGTCCGACGTTGATCAATGCTCAAAGGAACCGCCTTCGACTCCATTAAAAAGCAGTTGACTGTATATCTGGCTTATAGATAGCGTAAAGGCTCCTACCGACTTATGAAATCAGTATTTTTACTATCAGACAGGTTCTGTAGCAATTTGTTCACGAGAGATAGGAGGGAGCAGTAAGGATTCGTTAACCTGGATATCGGAATCGTACCAGTGACCAGATGTATGCTGCAGTGTACCGCCAAGCCACTATGCTTCACGCGTTCTTTTTAAAAAAAAACTGAAATTTAACGGCCAAACCTAATTTAAATTCTCAAATTGGAAAAATGGGTAGAGACACCCTATAAAAATATTGTTGTTCTTCAACAAGTTAAGTTAATCATACCCACAGGAATCAGTGTGGACAAACGAATAATGAAAACCACCCTGATCACTACTGCAGTTATTCAGGTTTTAGTTCATAGATTTTTCGACTTCGAACTGTGCATGACCTTTATATTATCATCTGACTGAACGACGCTCGGATGTTCTCAAGACTTTATTTAGAGACCTTAAAGGAAAGTGCTACAGCTTTGTGCTTTAAACGTATGAATCAACTGGCTCCGAGGATTTCTTTGTGAAAGATGAGAATCTCCTTAACGATAAATGGAATAGTAAGGAATATAACACTAACGATGATGACCATTTAAAGGTGGAGGAGAGCAACATGTGAGCCACATCGGCTTCAGTTCTTGCATTAACCGCTAAATTTTTGTAGAACAAGAACTTCGGAACAGTTCAAACGCACCGATAAATCAAAAAAGTGAGAAAACATGGGCCATATAAGTGTAGTAAGAAACGATCAGATCATTGTAATGGAGCAAGTTCTTCGTTTCTTCAAAAGCAATTCTCCACTTCTATTCGATAACGAAAACGATCAGTTCCCTGATTCGAACGTTTTGTGACGTAAAATCTACAAAAATAGACCCATAAAGGAAATAAACCCAGAAAATGAAGTCCTGCAAAAAACTTAACAAGTACGAAGAACCAATGGGCTTTCCGAAGGCGAAGCCTATTTCATGAAAAAAGAGTATGTGGCGAGTGTTCCACTGAATGTCAGCAAATGCCGCGTTGTAGTGGTGGCCTTTTGAAAATATGACAACACCCTCCAACAGTGAAGAAACCGATGATGCTTGTTTTAATCAATAACTATTATTAATGCCAACAATCAACTGCTGTGGTTACATTAGTCAATAATTAGTCGAATGGTATAAGTCATATTGTACGAGAGCGTTTAGCCATATAGCACATAACACAGAGAAGAGGCGTGCATTTCCATACGACTTCATTCAACATCTTACGAGTGATTGAATGCATTTTTGACGTATTCAGTGACTTGCGGTTGCTTATTGATGAATCAAGGCAGTGGTTTTATCCTCCCGGACAAGTCTGGTACCAATTTACTTTGGCCAAAGGTATGGAAGGCTTGCACTCGCCGGTGAGAGTGGTCGAACCATCTTGCATGCATTGCAGAGCATCTTTGACCACGGTGCTACATAGTCACCAAATCAAATATAGTATTCAACTGCAGCACTGACAATAGAGTAATCAACTGCTTGCTTTTTTAATAACGGACATTGAATAAACGGTAGCCACTAAGTAGCTCCGAAGCACAACAGGGCGTCGTCAGTGGCGTTATATCTTTCTATATTTATATATTAACAATTTCAATAAAGGCGTGAGAAGCACATTGTTAGAGGTGTCGTTCAATAATGGGCGCCTGATCACTTTTCCGACACTGCACAGAGCAAACCAGGTCTCCCATCACTATCCTGTTATTAAAATGGGGGCGATTTAGTACGTGAAAGAGTCGCCCGAATGCACAAAAACCGGAGAGTGCCTGTGGTGATGACCCTGCAATGCCGTAACACTGCCCGAGTACTCCAGAGAGAATCAATTTCATCAGCATTCAAGGCTATTCTTATAGAAGGCCAACATTGTCAAGCAGGTGCTTTACCCACACCCAAATTGAAATTTGGTAATGAAGGGTGTGAGATAACGAATCGAATAAAAGATTTCTGAGAATCCTGCAATACGTGGTGTTCTGTCATGTAAAAATACGTACATTTCAGTATGAGACGATCGCAGTCACTTATTGCTCAGTTACTAACGACAACAGATAGAGTTCTTTTATAGTTAATTCAAAAAGTGTGGGGGGAGGGGGGCTTTGAGCTAGATATAGTTTGGATTAAAAATAGTGAAGAAGCAGGTCCAAATAATTTCAACTCACTTCGTGCCTTAAGGCGAACTTATGATCTGTTGAGTGAGTTATGTGGCCAAAGGGAAAAAACATGCGTGTGCTATGTGTAAACAAATTGTCGTGCAAACAATAACGAAAAATGTAATCACATTTTGTTTGCTGCCTACTCTTCTTTCATGGCAGGGTTCGATGTGAAATACAAAGACAATGATGCTGAGATACTTGCAAAACTCCGGACAGCAGGTGTTTGCAATGGGAATCGAACAAAAATCGAATTACCCTTTCCCGGGCTAGCGTGTCCACCACCACACCATGCAGGTCTATTCCCCTTTTTCTCAGTCGCGTTTTGTAGGTACCATCAGCAATTACTCGTCAACGGGACTGACATGGGGAGCCCAGTCAAGGTGCAGATGTAGTATAAGTCAGTGTAACCACTTTTCATTTACTCCCTATTCTTTTTTCATGGCAGAGTATGATGTGAAATACAACTGCAATGATGATGAGAAATTTGCAAAACTCCGGACCGCAGGTGTTTGCAGAGGGGATTAAACCTCGCTATTACCCTATCTGGGGCTAACATTTTTACCACCACATTGTGCACGTCCTCGTTTCGTCTTTCCCTCAACCGTGTTTAATAGGTTTCTTCAGTAATTACCTGTCAACTGGAATGGTCTGGGGAGCAAAAATCGACACTGAGCCCAGATAAGCTGCAGCTGTAGTGTAAATCACAATGTAATCACTTTTTATTTACTGTCTATTCATTTTTCATAAATGGGATGAAATGCGTATGTGTATAAGATGCGTAAAACATGCCTGAGAGAAAGCCGAAGCGAAAGGCCCTCGTGGTGTAGTCGTGAACGCGTTAACCCCAGGAAAGCGTAATTACGTGTTCAATCCCCACCGCAGGCACCTGCGGTTCGGAGTTTTGCAAATATCTCAGCATCATTGTGGTTATATTTCACATCAGACTAAGATGGAAAGCACTATGGTTTTATCATAAAAACACTCACGAGTAGATTAGAACAAAAGCGCACAGTTTTAGGCCTATTAGTAAGACTTTACTAAAGAGTAGACGAAAGCACCACAACGTTAAATTTCGAACCCATTGAACAAAAAATGACAACGTGTCAGCCGATAGCAGGAGTGATTTACGATTGTAGGATGAAATGACTGGTCGAAATTTAATGTGCTACTGGTGTTGTTCAATTCAAGTTTTTGATAGCTCAGGCTAAGAATGTGCTCTTGACGTCCCAATCAAGAAGATATTATGTTTACAACCAGAAGAGAAAATGAAATCACTGACAGAATAACAGCAACATGAGCTTGCGAACGAAAGATTTTCAACGGATGTGCAAATTTTTCAAGGTTATATTCTTCAAAAGTCTATGAAAGACCGTGCAATGGAGTAGAGATACCACTTCTTCCGAAACCTAACATTCAGCTTTAAAATCTCTTTCCTTTTTTATCGTAACCTCTCCACTTTTCCTTTTTATTGCTTTACATTCTTTCAAATTTCATGTTTAAAGCAGGTTAAAGCATGTCTTCCGCCTTCAGTGATTACTTAGTTGACCTCAGCTCCTATGAACTATAAGAACTGTGAAATCATATCATTTTAAGAGTAATTTTACACAAACTGTAAATGAATGAATTTGATATATAGCATGAATAATGATTTATTGATGTATTAATACACTTAGCGTCGTGTTCCGTCTTCGTAGAATGTTCCACCATCAATGGCGCAATACTTCGGACAAATTCCTCTTTCACCAGGAGCGCCATCAATTCCAGGACGTCCTGGTGCTCCAGGAAGTCCGGCTGCACCGCGCTCACCATCTCCACCCCGTGGTCCTTTCGGTCCTTGCGGACCTAGATAAAACAAATAAACGAAGTTTGAAAGAAAAACATAGAGCGCATAACGATGACTCACCAAGTATTCCAGAACCTCCGGGACTACCTATCGAACCGGGAAGTCCAATTGGTCCTTGTGGTCCAGGAAGACCGGGTGGTCCAGGACGAATCGTCTCTATAATAGCGTTTTGGCCTGGTTTTCCTGGAACACCAGACTTTCCTGGCTTTCCTGGTAGTCCAGGTGGTCCACGCGCTCCCATTTCTCCGGGAGCTCCAATTGGACCGGCTGGTCCAATTGGACCCATGTGCCCAGAATCTCCTGGCGGGCCTGGAAGGCCGGGCGGTCCAGGAGGTCCACGTGGGCATGGTTTACATGGTGGAGGTGTTACTGGCTCACAAGGTTGCTGTGGTGGGCGCCCGGGATTTCCAGGAGCACCAGGAGCTCCTGGCTTTCCCGGTCGTCCTGGTCGACCCATGGGACCTGGTTGGCCAGGAGGTCCTGGTAAGCAACATAGTTCACAGTCAATGATGGTGCTTGTGATTTTACCAATATCCTCGTAGCTCGTTTGACGTGCAGTACGATTCTGTGTGCTTACTATTTTAATATCAGTTACTTTGTTCCAAAGAGTTCTTGCGGTTCCCTGAAGAATGAAGAGTGAAGGCGATAGGAATGCTCCTTATCTACAGAAATGCCACTCCTGATTAGAACTATGTAAAGAGTTTTCTGTCAAACAATGTGAAAATTCAAAAAAAATCTCTTACCGTACAGTCGTTGAGATCACTATTCATTGCTCTTCTAACGTTGTGTAGATAATTATAAATCATGGGCAACGAAATACAGACAGAAAGCACTGCGATTACTGAAAATGTGACCGCCGAATAGGCCACTACACGATACGCACGAATACGATAGTCCAGTTCCATTAAAGTGAAGTTTTCAAACTCTTGAACACTTCTTAAATAGTGTGTCGTTAAAGTACAACTAGTGCCATAGCAAGTTTTGTTTCTACTCGATACTCCTACTATTTCACTAAGCAACAACGTTCGTCACACTGAACGATTGACAACACAGCTAAACGAAAGAGGAATGAGTGTTTGCCGATGAGAAGAGGAATAGAGTAATTGCATGAGAGGCGACGTCGCTCACGGTGCCAAGGTGCCAAGCCCTGGAAAACGATAAAAGTGTTGCGATTAATAATTTAAGGTTAGGATATGTGATAAGATACACATGCGAAGTGAAACCGCAACATTGAGGTTTGGGGCGACAAAACTGGTAGAAATATTTGCTAAACATCTCGTCAACCGTTATTTTTCCGATGAAATGTAAATTCTGAACACTTGACCCTATAGATCATAGGACGCGTGTGCCGCCGTGGTCGGAGGCGCCCTGCGACACACCCGTGAATCGATCCCGACGCCCACGGCCCACCAAGACCTCCATCTCTTCGGGGTTGGTAAATTGATACCAGACTTGTCTGGTAAGATAGTAGCATTTGGTCGATACATCGATAGACCACTGCGAGTCATATTAAAGGCCAAATATGCATTCAATCACCTCCAAACGGTGCTTAATGAAGTTGAATACAGGGCGCATCCCTCAGGGATTGATCAACGCCGAGAGGATTGTTATTACGATTATCATTATCATTATCACAACGTTGCTGAGATATTTGCAAAACTCTGGACCGCAGGTGTCTATGGTGGGGAACGAACGCGCTATTGTCCTTTCCGGGGAGTAACGCGTTCACCACCACACCATGCGGGTCCTTTGTTTCGCCTGTCT